TGTATTGTCCAACTGCGAATACTCGTATCTCTCCTTCTCTCTATCTCGTGCCAACGTACTCCTACTTTCCCTTCTCTACCACTCTCTATCTCCTACTTTTCCCGTTCTCTCTCTCTCTCTCTCTCTCTCCAAAATCTCACTGAAATCTCCCATTTTTTCCCCTTCTCTCTCTCTCTCTCTCTTTCTCTCCGAAATCTCACTGAAATCTCCCATTTTTCCCCTCTGAGAACTCAACCTGCATCATTCCACTCCCCTGAATTCTCCTTCACCATATCCAAACTCAACCTTTTATTTTCCCCATTCCTTCCCTCAAACTTCACCAAAAAAGGAGACCATGAAAGCTCCATGGAAGCACCAAAATCCCCATAGAAAACACCAGCCCTTCTCTTCCCCCCATTCCCAACCATAGACTCCGATTAATTTTTAGAGAGAGAATCACCAAAAAAAAAAAACCCCTCTTCTCCCTGTAAAAGCTTCACCCCACTAACTCGCACTTATCACGCTGCCATCTCCATCTCCCTTCTCCCCAACTGAATTCAGGGCAGGGTGAATATATGAGCAATCCTCGTCTTTGTAAAGAAATACTTCTCATCATAGACCCATTTGCCAGGGTGAATATATGAGCAATCCCCATTTGCCACGGTGGATATATGAGCAATCCTGGTCTTTGTAAAGACATACTTCCCCATTTGCCGTGTAAGAGCTTGCACTTGTTAGGATATGGATATACATGGTTATTGATACATATCAGTATATCTATTGATACATGCCTCCAGATACATACATCCATATGTATCCATAGATACGTATCTCTTCATAAGATTAGGTGGTGTCTATCCATAACCATTGGTATTTATTTTTAACTGTTACTGGCCGTATTTTTATACAAAGTCTTGTATATTCTTGATTAATCAATAAAGAATTCTTTTATATTATTGATTAATCGATAAAAAAATTCTTGATTAATCAATAAGGAAAGAGTTCTATGTAGTATTCTGAAATAATCTTTTATGGAAGAATATTTTTTAAACAATAAAGAAAAAGCTCTATGCAATATTTTGAAATAATCTTTCATGGAGGTCTAATGCTCAAATATACAAACAACACCATGGTTTTGGAGTGAGAATCTCTTTTGGGGTTTGAGTTTTAGGCCAAAAACTTTGGAGAGAGAGAGAGAGAGAGAGTAGGGGTGGTTTTTGGAGAGATAGTGAGGAAGAAAGTGGCTAGGAGGAAGGTGGCTATGGTGATTATGAGAATGAGCTTTGGGTTCTCTATGGTAGGCTGCTCATGTAGTCATGTAGGGGCTTGGCCATTGTTGGGTTGTGGAGTTTTTGGAAGGGTGTTTTGGTTTTGAAAGGTCTAAGGGTAGAGAGAGAAAAAGAGAGAGTGGTGGAGAGAGAAAGAGAGAGAGGGCGGTCGAGAGAGAAAGAGAAAGAGAGATAGAGAGGGTGGTAGAGAGAGAAAGATAAAGAGAGAGAGGGCGGGTAGAAAGAGAAAAAGAGACAGAGAGGGCGGTATACAGAGAAATAGAAAGAGAGAGAGGGCGGGTAGAAAGAGAAAGTGTTGCCATAATGATATGTGAATACAAAAATATAAGGGAAGAGAGAGGGAAATGGTATTTTCGTTTCTTGACTTTTTGATTTGGGAGTAAGTATAAGAAAACAGTGTTAGATCTAAGTTGTGATACTAAAAATATTGGAGTAGGATATCTAGAAAATTGATTTTGGTGGTATTTATATTTTTTCTTAATTTTTTTTTTTTAATTGTGATGCATTTTAATACTTGGGATTTTTCATTAAATGACTATCACTAATTGTGGCTTTTCTTATATAGGTGCGGTTTGCATGGAGTTAAGGCTCTAAGCAACCAAAGTAGAGCCCACCTTTAAATAGTATTGAAAATTGTGGGTTCAATATTGAAAATCTTTATGATAGCCTTAAAATATATTTTCATATCTAATTATAAAATTTAAAGCTTAAAAAATAGTGTAAATCAAGCAATGAAAACTTGAAAATCTAGAAAATTGACCATCCAAAAATGCATTACAAGATGCACTATTTCAAAAACTTGAAATCTAATTTTTTTCCATGTCCATGCATCTTGAGGTGGAGATGATCCACTTGATGATATTTGGGCATCAAAACAACTTAGGATATTTGATTATCAAAACAACATCTTCAAGTGAATTTTTTGATATAGGCTCTAATTTGATTGTTTTGAGCCTCGGCTCTATATAAACTTTTCCCTTCTTTGTATGCATGCATTTTATTTCCTATTTTGTGTAATACCAAAAAGGTGCAGAGAACATGCATGGATTCTTTAGCAGATGCGTTAATGTTGAGTCAGTACATACCTACAGTAATTGGACACTGAAAAGTCACTGGGCACATAGTACATACCTATAATAATTGGAAACTAAAATTCCATTGGGCTTTTTACTTGCGACATCTATTGTTAGCATTCGATGTTATTTTTATCAAAAAATTCATTGGAGCATCTCTCGGCCGTGACAATATATATATATATATATATATATATATATATATTATTTATTTTCCTAAGGTGCCATGTCCGATAATAACAACATAAACCCACATACTTCTTAAATACACTGTGGTTAAATAAAAAAAATATAATACAAATTTACTCCTTTTGTAAAAAGACTTATTTTGGAAGATTTTTTCAATTTGAAACTTTTAAACCTCCTAATTATCACTAGATTATTTTCAAAAGTTAAAATTTGAAATTTGAGTTCTTTAACACTACGATCTCACCCTCTGCAAATTAGATGGTCTCAGTACAATCTTGAGATATTATTTTTTCAAATGCGTGGAGGGTGCAATTAGGAATTTTTTTTTATTAAGGTTAATCTATGGATTGAAGATGTTACATCTCCAAAATTTGGGTTGCTTAAATTAATCCTAGGTATGGTTTTTACATGAACAGCATACTCCTGAGGGAGCATAAATTCCCTGAGCAATTTTTTTAAAAAAGTGATACCTTTTGTATTTAGAGGTCTTCTTTATGGATTCCCTTAGAAGCATATTTTTCATTTAGTCACTCAAGTAAAATCTTACCTATGATTAATTTAAGGAATAATTTTGGAGATGTAACCTCTTCAACGCATAGATTAACTTTTAATAAAATTTTTTTTCTAATTGTATCATCTACACACTCGAACAAAAAATATTGTTTCAAGATTGAATAGAGATTGTCCATTTTTAAAGGGTGAGATTTAAGTATTAGAAAACTTGAATTTCAAATTTTAACTTTTGAAAATAACATTTTTAAAAGGTGAGATTTAAGTATTAGAGAACTTGAATTTCAAATTTTAACTTTTGAAAATAATCATCGAGTAATAATTAGGTTGTTCCAAAAAATTTATATTGAAAAAAAATCCAAGTCTTTTTATAGATGAGGTTTATCACATATCCATTGTTATTATTACCGGACAGGAGGACAACTTAAAGAGAAAAAAAAAAAAAGTGTCATCAGAAGAATATTTACTATTCTTACAAGAAGATCACCATTACTTCTAGCCATTCAAATTAGATGACTTGAAGTGCATCATAAAGTTAAATATTATTTATTTATTTTATTTTTATTTTTTTAAAGTATAGAGAACGATACACTTACAACCACTTTATTTGAAATTTGATGGGTGAGTGATCCCAACCTTATTGCATTCAAAACGGCACAAGTACTAGAGTAAAAGCCAATGATTCAACTATTCAAGGAGAGAGAGAGAGAGCAAATGATTCAACCATTCAAGAGGGCTGGAATGATAAGAGAGAGGAAGGTGATGTTCCTGCTATTTATTAAATGTAAAACAGTATGAGCTTTTCTACAGGAAAAGGATTTGGTGTGCCCAAGGTGGATCCCTATAATTTTAGTCCCGCTTAAATATTCATGCCACAGGGTTGTTGGGACATTAAAATATCAAGGATGTGCACTACTCATCCCACCAAATGAGCCCGAAGGTGAGAAAAGGAAAATAATTCGCATTCCACAAATGCCAACAGATAATTTTGATTTCAAAAAAGGAAGAAGTGCCTAGAAAATTCAGGCTACAAAAGCATACATAACCTTTATTTTCTAAGGAGAATTTGCATTTTAAAAATGGCTAAAAAATCAAGCCACATGGGCGTGTATAAACTCTACTTTTTGGATGGTCGGACATCTGTATTTATTTATGAAAATGTATATATTAAGACAGTTTGCCTTTGATACAATGTGGTCCCAATTAATCTTGATCATTAGATGTGAAATTGGGTAGTTATACTCATTTCATTGAACAAGCTCAAGATTCAAAAGAAAATTTCTTGAACTTTGTGATATACCTAAGTTATGAAATTTCATATTGGATGGTTATATATAATTGTGACCTTCTTGTACTAAAAATAAAAGGTCTTATTGTATTCATCCATTTATTTATTTTTGTACGAGAGAGTTTATCGTA